CCTCCTTTGAGTAAATACCCATGTGCTAAATGCTACGTAGTCACTAAGATGATCAAAATTATTAGCGGCCTAGTGGCTCAGTTGCTTAGAGCAAGGGTTGCCAGTTCAATTCCCATATGAGCCAGTGAGTTGCGCCCCCTGCAACTAGATTGAAGGACAACAGCTTGACTTGGAGCTGATGGGTCCTGGGAAAAACACACTGTTCCCCAATAAAGTTAAAAAAAAAAAGATTCAAGCAAAAATAGAATCATTAAAAAAAATTTTTAGGCAGAATCTTGACCCAAGTCGACCACGAGACCAATTTGTGATCATGGTCTCACATTTTACCCTTAGAGGGAGGCTTGCTAACCCGGAGTCCACAGACTCTCAGGGGTTCTCAGATTTTTAAGGGGTCTATGAAGTTGAATGAAAAGAAATTATATCTTGTCACTAACCTCTAACTGAAATTTAGCATTTCCTTCAACAAACCACAGCAGTATTAGCAGTTCCTGTGACACTGCCCCCAAAACAAATCACAGTCCCTTACAACTCTGCAGGTTCTCAGTAGACCATTTATGCCCCTCCCAACTCCCCCACGGTCTGGGCTCCTAAGAGAAAGGGCCACAGAGCAGGCAGTGGGTTCCATCACAAGCCCCCACAGCCCCATTGCCGATGTACATACTTACCTCCTTGTGTATTTTGGTCCTACTTTTTATTTCAGCTACTATCATTCCCACGATGGCACCCCTGTAGGTCGCAGCAAGAGAAAAGAACTTCTTGTTGGAGGTGATGTCACGATACCATGAGTCTGGGTACCTGAGAAGAACAAACTCAGGTAAACCTCAGGTCAAGTTCAATTAACTTTGTACTTCAGACCGTGGACCCACAGGGGACTCGAGGCTGCTCTATCCACTACGCCAGGGTTGATAAGGAGCCTGCCCACCACTCAGTCTCCATCAAAGTGTATTATTCTCGGTGAATCACCTTAAAGCAGTAATTTGACCAGCTGGGACTGGGAATTTCTGATCGGAAAATGATTTTAGAAGACGTAGTGATGAGAGAAGAGGAAAAAACCTCCCATAATGTCTTCAGAAGAGCAGTGCCTGGAGGGGCAGCTGAATGAGTTAAGACTGATGACCCTTGGTAACCCAAGTGAACAGGGAAGAGAACATTTCCTGCAAAGTTCCAGGATGCACTGATGAAAGGTAGATTATTCAGCCCTGGACAAGGGGGCTTGGTGAGGGGGGTTCGGGGCTTCATGGGCCTGTGGGATTGTTTCTTAACTTGGGACATAACAGCTTAGCCCAGATGCCTTTCTTGAGACCAAGAGCTGGAGGAATGTGTGGGACACTCCCATCTTCTGACCCCAGGAATGTTTGGTTGGCCTGGCGAGGCAGCCAGGGCATGGAGCTGCCACCACACAATCCAAGGGGACTCTCAGTCTTTGGAACCTGAGGCCTCAGACCTAGGAAGCTGCAAGGAGAGAGGCCAGCAGGTCGGGGTGCCTCAGGAAGCACAGAGGCCA